GATCCGCCTGCCTCTGCCTCCCGAGTGCTGGGATTAAAGGCGTGCGCCACCACCGCCCGGCTCGTTTTTTGTTTTTTCGAGATAGGGGTTCTCGGTGTAGTTTTGCGCCTCTCCTGGATCTCGCTCTGTAGACCAGTCTGGCCTTGAACTCACAGAGATCTGCCTGGATCTGCCTCCCAGTGCTGGGATTAAAGGTGTGGGCCACCACCGCCCGGCTGCATTTGACTCTTAACATGTTAAGAAAATGCATTATTTCTCAGACAATAATGTCATTCAGATCTAACTTTCAATCATAAAATATGAACACAGTATCTGAAGGAAGAGAAAGGTGTGTGTCTACAGAACAATATGAAGTTCAAACAAGATAACTGTTGTTCCTAGAAAGAATTACTGAAAATACACAACACAGATGAATCCTTGACATCAAAGTTGAAATGAAAGAGCCAAACAAACAGGCACGAGTAGATTCAATTTATGGAAACAAAACTGAAAATACTGTAAAGAAAGTGAGATTAGTGCTACCTACTGTGAATGGAGAGACCATGGCCCAGGAAAATGCAGAAGCTAGGGCACTGGGATTGTTCTACAGTTTGACTTGGGTAGTAGTCACACAGATTATACTTATGTGAACACTACTGAGCTGTACACTAAAACTTGTGTACTTTCTTACATCATGTACTGTTAAAAATAAATCATCTAGGAGATAAAGATCTTCCTGAAGAAAATTATGAGAAGGGTTAATTTACTAAGAAAGATTTACTAAAAAGGCCATTTAGCTTTCCTTCTAAATGAAGAAACCTTCAGACTTCTCCATGAATACTAAGAAAGTCACCTAACTTTCCTACTAAATTAAAATAACAAAAAGACCCACAAGATTTCTTAAAGAGTAAAGTATTAAAACAAATGGAAACATTAAAAAGATCACTAGCAAACTGAGACAAGAAAATAATGCCAACAATGATGTGCAGAGAAGCTGAATGTGACTGAGCTCAGTCAGACAAAGGAGACTATCTTCGGTGCATCCACTGCAATTAACTAATTAGTAGGATTTTTGTTTCTGGGAATAGTTTTTCAATCTCTTAAACTATCTGAGAAGTTAGCTTTATACTCAAAAAGGTTGGCAAAAAAAATTTGAAGATTATGAACAGAGTATGAAAAGGAAAAAAATGGTTATGGTTATCTTGTTGCATTGTAAAATAAAGATTGGTTCTTAAAGACTATCTGAAGAAATGCATTAAGAAAACATTTTCATATTCCTAAATCACCTGATCAGATAGACAAGAACACAGATTACATTTGTAACAAGAATATCTGATACAATTAAATGTTAAAGTGATAGTTAAAAAAAAGGGTCTAAACTTCTCTGTTTGGAGCACAAAGTAAATCCATGCCCTACCGATGAAGAACCAGAATGCAAGTATAGCCATTCTGAAGAAGGGCACATTGGGAAGAAAAGCAAAGTGAGCCTTCTCACCTGGTGTTTGTTTCTCACCATGTTTCCCATGCTGGTCTTCTGGGCTTCTTGCATTCCCTCCTGAGGAAAGCATCCATTAGATTTGTAGATTCTCTTCAGATACCAGTGACTCCTATTAGGCACCTTTCGGACAACCACAAATGCTAACAAAGGAATAATCCTTCTTTTGCCTAAACGTTCTTGAAAGGTCATTTAGAAATGGAAAGTTGTTTCCCTTTCCATTCAGGTGATGGAAAGAGAAATACCTATATTACTTCTTTAAATGACTCAACAATTATGAAGGTTTTCAAATGAAGAAAGGTTAGAATAACCACCACCTACAAACTACTTTTCTATTTCATTTCAAAGTTTCACTATGTCTCCATTTCATAAAAGAGTATCAGTTCTCCTCTATCATCAGGTCTAGGGTCTCTTGCCTCCTCCAGTAAGGTATGAAGTATAGAAAAGTGCAGAAGCCCATGGAAACTCAAGTTTTAGAAATTCTTCTCAGAATCCCTATAGGTCTCATAGATTATAAGTCACAAGCCAGTCTACTTTTCAGCAAGTCACTCTTCAGTTTCCTTCGAAAGGCTAAATAAAGGTATAGGAATGAAAAAGATGTGCCCAGAAAACAATTCCAAACATATTTAGCTAACAAAGATGAATAAGAACTTGAATATTAAGAGCACGCAGTGTGTGCATGGACAAGTAAGAATATTACAAATGACAATCTTTCAACAACTGTCAAACACCAGTGGTTCAGTAAGTTTCCATGAGGTATTTGCATTTGGTAATTTCACGCTGTGCTCCAGAATGAACCATTAGGAAATCAAAGTTCCTTCACACAGATGAACCTCAACATGATCATTTGCTAGATGACAGACAGCTTGTTGTTGTAGTGAAGTTTAGTGAGGTGAAAAGTAGTGGCTACCCAAAGAGCATCATTTCACTCCAACACCTAATTCTCCAAGTTCAGTTTCTATCAAGTTTTCAATTGATAACATGCATGCTAAAACTCCACCAGAAGAGTAACTATGTTCTAAATCACTATATTATTAGGCCCTTTTGAAGATACTTCCTGGTGTCAATCAAGAATGGTAATAGTGATAAATAATATATTGCTTAAAAATAAAGACTCATGGCAGAGCCAAGTAAGATAGGTACCTTGTGAACCAAGACAGGAATCTAGAAAGATGAAATTCTCCAGGCAACTGGTCCCTAAGTAAAAGGAAGCAAACCTATGGCCAAATATACTAGTTCTTACCTGTAATTGGAATCAATTTCCAATGTATTTCTGTCTCTTCTTCATCATTTGACTTAGAATGTTGCGTACGGAATCCATGCTCAATGGAAACAGTGGGACAGAGGCTGCACTCTTCAAAATTATTGACATTAATTAAATGTGGATCCTAAAAATAAAGGACATACATTTAATACCTTGCCTTTTAAATTTAATGTCAAGGCTATACTACTTCCTCACAGCAAATGCATAAACTACAAATAAATAAAAACAACATGGTAAAATTATAATACTCTAGCTTTAAATCTAAAATATATTTTGCCAAGGCCAGGAATGGTAGTGCTTGCCTATAAGCAGGTTCAGGAGGCAGAGGCAATAAGGATCAAAAGTTTGAGGCCAGCCATGGGTTCAGAGTGAAACCCTGTCATGAATAAACATACACCTCCCCCAATAAATAAATGAAATAAACAATATACATTGTCCTTAAAGGTTATCTGAGGACTGGCAAGATGGCTCAGTGGGGAAAGGCACTTGCCACCAACTCTGATGACCTGAGTACTCTCCTCAGGAGCCACACAATGGATAACTTTCAGAAGTTATCCTCTGACCTTCACATGTACACAAAATAAAAATAGTAAAATTTAATAAAAAGATTAAATGAACACTCAGCAATAAAGAACCCCAGCTGCTCTTGCAGAGGACCAGGTTCAATTCCTAGCACCCCACATAGCAGCTCACAACCATCTTAACTTCAGTTTTTTCAAGAGATCCGACACCTCCACTGCTCTCAGAGGGCACCAGAGATCTATGTGGTGCATATACAAACAGGCGAGCAAAACAATCACATGAATAAAATAAGTAAATCTTTAAAAACGCAAAAATAATACCACACATACAAAACTGATGTTAATTTAAAGCAGTGACTGGTAAATTTTTGTTTTAAATTTTATAGGCTATATATTCAACTCTGTTATTGTATTTAACAATACCAACAGGCAATACTTAAATGAATAGAAACAGAATTTTGAGGTATAAAACCAGGATGGCTCAGTGGTTAAGAGCACTAGCTGCTCTTCCTGAGGACCCAGGTTCAACTCCCAGCACCCACATGGCAGCTCACAACTGTCTTTAACTCCTGTTCCAGGGAGTCCAACACCCTCACACAACCATGCAGGCAAAAGATCAATGTACATAAAAATCATAAAAAAAAAAAAAAAGCAAGTAGGCCATATTCAGCCCACACTCTTGTTAAATGTATTAAGAAACATTAACAATACAGGTTAATATCTCAATGCCTACCCACATAAATCTCCTACCACCATCTTCTCCCTAAAATAAATATCCCAAAACCACATAAAGAAAGGCCGAGATATGCACATATGACTTGGATTCAAAGACAGAAGAATAAATTAGCTAACAGCCCTTAAGAGCCATACATAAACAAATGGATTACTTAATAAGCAAAGCTGAGAATCACCTCAGAGATAATCCCAAAGCCTACTTATTTATATCTGCACAATATAAAATGCTTAATTTGCAGCTCCATATTACTATATTCAACGGCTTCATCTGTCTCACTCCGATTCTCTTACAGCAGAAAACAGCCCGTTTGGAGGACTCATTTCATCATAAAACAATATGAAATGAACTCTTGCTATGCCAATCTGACAAACTATCTAGCCCTAGTTTTATCATACTAGATGTACTTTATTAGATTATATATAAAGCACAAAAGCATATAGAAAACAATTACTTCCGTATTTACCTTTTTTCAACAAGAAAAGCTTAGAATCACCCTCTAAGACAAACACTTTTACTTCCTGAAGTATGCCCACACTCTTTGACATATTGACATACACAAAAGCAAATACAGATAACCAGAAAGCCACATTTGTATCTTTCAAATGTAGCTTATGGTCAATGCCTACCTCACTGGTAGAAAGAAGAGTAGGGTACTGTACAGATGCTGCATCAACTTCTAGCAGTGGGCTCTGAGCACCCTTAAAATGGACGTTTTCAATTTTTGTACAAGTATGCTGCTCACAGTCTTTTTTATCTAAGGCAGGATTCAACTCATATTCACACTTTTGTCTTAGCTCTTCACAGGTACCACTGCTACTCAATCCTAAGGCCTTGTTGACTGTATCTGTCAGGAATGCATCTGAGTGTCGTGCATTTGCTAGTGCTTCTGATAACCAATTATAAAGCTTGTGGACGTCTCCAGTGTTACATGCCTCTTCTTGCTGCAGTCTCAAGTTAGGATCATGTCCAAGTAAGCCAATGGATTGTGGAGACTCTGAGGAAAACAAAGAAAAACCATCTCTTGTATTTTAAAAGCCAGTATACTTATTTATATGACAGAATGAAAAAACTGAATATATTTTAAAAATAAAACTTAGAAGTCATTTGTAAGGCATTTATCAGTAGGAACTAAAATATTTTAGTCTTAGATTTTACAAATATGTGTCCTCTACTACAACTGTTTTTGAAAATTTGAAGAGCACATGAAAGAGCAAGAAACATGGCCATGCCCTGGTTAGTCTAAAAAGAAAGCCTTGAAAAGCCAAATACTGAAGATGAAACTGATTTTAAGTTAATAAAACAATACAGAGAGGATACTGAAATGAACTGAGGAAATTTAAAAACCAGAAAGGACACAAAAGAGATAAAACATACACACTGAAAGTAAAGAGATACCTAAGTCAAGTGAAGAAAAAGCCTAAAAGTTGTAACAGACAACAGCACCGTCAAATAGAACTTTCTGCAAAGACTGAAACATTCCTATCAGTATGCTCTAATACAGTTGTATGGCTGGTAAGATGTAGTTTTATTTCAACTAACTGAAACTTAAAGAGCTATGTGTAATGACTACCACAATGGATAATTCAAGAATAAAAGTAAAGATTTCCCCCAAAGGGGAGTCCTTGCCCTGGAGGAGATGGGAATGGGGGGTGGGGAGGGCTGGAGGATGGAGGACAGGGGAATCCATGGCTGATACGTAAAATTAAACTAAATTATAAAATAAATTAACAAAAAAAAAAAAAAAAAAAAAAGCCGGGCGGTGGTGGCACACGCCTTTAATCCCAACACTTGGGAGGCAGAGGCATGCGGATCTCTGTGAGTTCGAGGCCAGCCTGGGCCCCAGAGTGAGTTCCAGGAAAAGGCTCCAAAGCTACACAGAGAAACCCTGTCTCGAAAAACAAAAAAATGACCATTCAGCTGACAGCTTTAGAGAACTGTCGGACAATAAATAATAATAATATCTTTAAAAAAAAAGTAAGGATTCCAGTTCTGGTGGCACACGCCTTCCCAGATACTTGGAAAACCAAGACAAATGGACAGCAAAAGGTTAGCCTGGTCTGAGGAATGAGCTAAAAGCCAATCTGGGCAACTTAGTGAAACCTTGTTTCAAAAAGTAAAGAGAGTTGAGGATGCAGTTCAGTAGGTATGTGCTTATCTACCATGAACAAGGCTTATGGTTCATTCAGAGCATAAAAGTATATATTATAGCAAGGACATTTATCTGTCCAACCTAATCAAAGACAAACACATCTGAAAAGAAAAGGTTTCTGAGCACAAAATAAAAGCCCAAAACCTCACATTTCATGTTTCTGAACTAGCCAGTATAAAAAGGTTAAAACACTGAGTATTTAATTTATTTACAATACTTAAACACACTATGGTAACAGTCTCCCATTTCTGTCAACTGAAAAGGGTACAACAAAGGAACACAACAGTAATTGTATAAATCTAAGAAATTTCATTTTAAAGCTCAGAAGGGTCCATTCATTAAGCAACAGCCTAAAACAATCCAACAAATACCTCTCATTGAGAAAACAAAATATAGTGTAAGCGCTAAGTTCAAGCTAAGCTTAAATGTATTGAGTATGCTTTGTATTGGCCTAAACTGAACAATTAAAAATATGACACAGCAGGGTAAGTATTTTTATATAGGATCAAACAGTAAGTATTTTAAACATCATGGGCCATACAGTCTTTCCTGCAATTCTGCCATCTCAGTGTGAAAGCAGCTATACACACATAAATGAATGGCCATAGTTGTATTCTTTTGTGTGTGTGGGGGAGGGGGGGGATTCGAGACAGGGTTTCTCTGTGTAGTTTTGGTGCCTGTCCTGAATCTCTCTCTGTTGACCAGTCTGGCCTGGAACTCACAGAGATCCACCTGGCTCTGTTTCCTAAGTGCTGGGATTAAAGATGTGCACCACCGATGCCCAGCATCGTGGTTGTATTCTAATAATGTATTCAAAAACAGGAGTAAGCCGGGCGTTGGTGGCGCACGCCTTTAATCCCAGCACTCGGGAGGCAGAGGCAGGCGGATCTCTGTGAGTTCGAGGCCAACCTGGGCTACCAAGTGAGTTCCAGGAAAAGGCGCAAAGCTACACAGAGAAACCCTGTCTCGAAAAAACAAAAAAAAAAAAAAAAAAAACAGGAGTAAACTCGTTCACTCCTTAACTGTTTGAGGAATCTGTGGTCATCACAAATGACATAGTAACTATCTGAACCAGGATGTTCATGACCAACCAACTACTTCAAAGGAAACAAATGATTATTCAGTCTGTCACCCTGGAAAGTCAATAGTGAGACAGAAATTCAGGAAAAAAAGGAATGTACAACACCAAACCTGATCCTTGTATTTGGGATTAGAACCCATTTTGGTGGTGTCAAGGTAAACTGAATTTAGGATGGTTTGTGTCTTCTTGGATTGTACAAAGAAAAACTGAGCTATAACACACAGCTGAAGAACATAGCGTGTTGAGAAAGAAAAGGACCACAAGCCAACAGCAAAAGGGACATGTTAACACTGGCAAAAAGTAAGCTAGAGAGTGGATAACAGTCAAAATATAAGGCCACTGCAATGACTTATTTGCTGTGAGTGTACAATTTCTAAGGGTAGGATTAATAAACTGTAAAAACTTCCAAAGTCAACCAATCCTGAACAAGCCAGGCAGGCATTCTCACACCTGTAACTGTACTCCCTGGGAAGCTGAGGAAGGAAGCTGAGGTAAGAATTCCAGGCCAGTCAGAGCTCGTGTGACACCATGCTCAAAAAGAAAAAACATAGAACCCAAACCCAACCAAGTACCTAGGACAGTTTGTATTTGGCTCTTAAGCGTAGTGATTTGGGAATTACTGTAACATGGGAAAGAACAGAACCAAGGTTATGTATTTGGGTTATTATCATAAAAGTAATGTGTTATTTTACCTTCATATAGATGATAATTATCAGATGAACTGCTGGTTTTGGCGAACTTTCTCATATTTTCAGGTAGATCCTCAAGCTTCCTCTTCAAGACACTTTTGCTTCTAGGATCTTCTGTATCTGGGTCCCCACCCACATTTTTTTTTGTACATTGAATTAAATTAATCAATTCTTTGACTCTATCCTTATCATAATCTAAAGAATGAGATGACTTCTGCTGTACAGGTTCAGTAGTTTCTCCCCTTGAGCTATTTCGTTTTCCAAATTTCATTTTTGAACCATTAATTTCTTCTTCTTGACCTTCATAATCTGAAAGTGGACTAAATTGTTGACGTTTTCGATTTTCTTCAAATAACTCTTTTAATTTAAAAATAGGTAACTGATACATTTCTGGCTGAAAAATGTAGGTATGTAAGCAGTCGTCAATATGAGATTTATTTCTTGGTGCTGAGTATAGGAATTTTTTATCATCTAATCGTGAATCGTATGAAAACATGAAAAATTCCCGTTTACCTGAACCAAAACCTCGCTTAAAAAATTCACTTACGTACTTCTCAACAACAGAATGAAAATTTATAGTGTTTATATCTTTGAATTCTTTTCGACACTGAATTAAAGCAAACTGTAAAAACTGAGTTATTTTTAATATATCTGATATGCTCTCATGTTTCTCCTGTGGTGCTGGATTCGTTACACCTTTCTGTGCTGCAAATAAACAAAAAGTAAACCATAGTAGCAATAGGGAAATCAACCAAATATAAATCATCACACTACTGAAGTATAACAACATTTGAACATTAATGTTGAGCCAGTGAGCATCTGCTTCTGATACACAAGTAGTACAGCAAACTGACAAGCAGCATGCTTCTGCTTAAAATGGGCCAGTAACCCAAACAGGTGAAAAGGGAAAACAGACTTTTAATGGGAAAAAACCTCCTCACTAACGATCTTCACTTCCTTTTGCCCCCAAGTCAACACAAATGATATCAAGCAAATTGCAAAGAATGGGGAGAAAGTAAGATTTGAGATTCTAAGCAGTATCACTCCTGCAAATGACAACAATGTCACTCCATTTTTCTCATAAAGTAACAACATTAACTTTATATAAACTCATTTCCCCATAAACACATATCTATGTACTGAGAAGTCACAACTGAAAAATCCAGGCTTAATCCAAAAGCCTATTAGTGGGAATTCCTTAATATAATATTCAAGTTTGTTGTTAAAAAAGGCCAACAACCAAATCTTCTCTAACACAAATATTCCAAATTCTCATTAACTACGAATGGCCTAATGTTTAATATGGCATATGATACTTTAAAATCACTAAAACTTGAATGCAAAAATGAATTAGAGAAAAATATGTCACATAAAACTCTAAGCTAAGCCGGGCGGTGGTGGCGCACGCCTTTAATCCCAGCACTCGGGAGGCAGAGCCAGGTGGATCTCTGTGAGTTCGAGGCCAGCCTGGACTA